ATAATAAGAAATTATAATAAGAAATTATAATAAGAAATTATAATAAGAAATTATAATAAGAAATTATAATAAGAAATTATAATAAGAAATAAAGGTACAATAATGTAATAATAATTATTATGTGAATTACCATAATTACCGTAATTTAATTTTCAAGAAGAATGGTTAAATAATAAATAATGAAACAAAATTATAATCAGTTACCGTTATTTCTTGGCATGAAAAAGGAAATGTATAATAACGTAAGAATCCCATTACTTTTAATTTGTCATATTGGCAAAATTCAAATTCAGACAAGGTCCGTCGTTCAAGAATTAACTTTTTCGGAAAATTAAAAAAAAAAATCAAAAAGGAAAGGAGTTAATTATATTGAATCAAAAAACCAGTGTGAAAGCATTTAAATAAAAAAATCATTAATTTAATTACGAAATGAAATATCAATTATATAATTAGAATTATTTTTATTATCGTTATTATTATTATTATTATTATTTTTAAAAAAAAGTGGAAGGTAAAAAAAAAAAACGACGGAAAATTTATTATGTAATAGGTTTTTTGTTATTTACGCAAAGCCACCAAGTACCCTTGTGTATAAATGACTAGCATCTGATTTTTTTCAACGTAATATAACAATGAATTTCGATCATTGTGAAACCGATTAGCCAAAAATCGATTTTTACTTAATCTGTTAACATATTACCGACCCGTTGAAGCTACCGGTATCTTTATATAATTATATATAAACAGTAAAACCACCTCCTTCTGTCTGATTGAAACTAACTATTATCACTGTGGAGTATTTTAGGAATATATAAATACTATTACTTATATCAACCTGACGTTTTTCAATAAATCATACTCTGATCCCATCATCAATATCAATTACTTTTGATCACATCAAAATCCGCTACTGTGCCTTGAGTATTTATTTATTATTTTTTCTACTTATACTTAGTCGAAATATAGATATCCGGTGGGTCTTTTTTTATTTATAACTTTTATTTATTTTCTTTTTGTTTTGTATCTTTGTTTGTGTTCTCTGTTTTTGTTTTGATAATCTGTTTTGTTTCATCCGTTTTTTTTTTCTTAAAGAAAATTATTATTTGCAATATGGCAACGATCCAAATAAATCATCCTGCTCAAATTCGTCAGCGTGGCAAAGTCAAGTTTTTCAACATGCAAAAAAGGTTACGGGTTTATCATTCCTTGTGACCTTCCCTGTAACCTTCCAGAGTGTGATAAAGTAGAAGGTGATAATTTAATTTCGCGTTTCTCTTGAATTTGATGTTTTAAAAAATTGCCTTGGTATTATCTGTGGTTGTTTAACTGGCAATTCATTTTGTGTCTCCTTTAAATTTTATTTTGTTTTCATGTTTTTATTTTTTATTTTTATTTTATTTTATTTTTTTTTGTGTCAATTCATTAAGTTTTTGTGCATCATACCTCGATTCATAATGATGGGGGTTTTAAGAGTCTTGCTGAGGTATCATTATCATAAGTGAAATCAGTCTCATTGAGTGTAATTTACGCGTCTTTCTGTCGCTTACCAAAAACTTCATTTGTCACTCTTTCTAATTACGACTTGATCCGCGTTCTGCTTTCCTTTTCAGGGTGAAGATGTATGTATCTCTAAGCGATCTTTAAATATTTCTTACTGATACGTATCAAAGACATCAAATATTATTAACCATATTTATTATTTATTTATTTAATTTTTTTTTTCCTAGGTTGAATTTGATTTGATTAAAGGTCCAAAGGGATTTCAAGCTGCAAATGTTAGTGGTCCGAATGGTGTTTCTGTTAAAGGTGATCCAAACGCTCCTGGTCGACGTCCTATTTATACTACGTTGGTTCTTTTTTTTATTTATTTATTCCGATTCAGTTCATTTATTTCTCTCATAAATTCCTAACTTTAATTTTAAAAATCAATCAGCAATAATTATATTGGACTAAACCCTAACTACGGAATACTTGATCGACCCCTTAAATTTCCAACTGGAAGTGATCTGGCTACTAGCAATGCTGGTAAGTTTTCTTATCGTTTATGTAGGCCCAGATTATATCCATCTCTGCGTAACACTTGAGCTGATTCGATTAACGGGCTGCTCTCGAGTTTTTTTGGATTCAATATCAACTTTTATTTAGCATTATACTATCTTTTATGTACAATTACCTTAGGGGGGTATGGTGCCGCTATGGGCATTAATCAACCTTATCATGCTTTGCAATCGACCTACCCAACGCCACTTTATCAGCAGGGTACTCATTTCTCGTCTCATCAACCTCCTTATGCTTCGCAGTTTGCGAATTATGGCTCTACCTATACCAACATTAATGCACATTCGAGTAATGGTTCTGGTGCCACATCACAACCTGTTCCGTTCACTCCTCAACACACTTCTTTTACTCCCATTATCCCACAATATCCTGTTGCAAATGGTGGTACCGCTCGTTTTGGTTCTAGTATCGCTTCTGCTGACAATCAAAATAGCGGTGGGTCATTAAAATCAAACGAAAGATCCTTTGGATCAAATAGTTTTAACAGATTCTAATCCTAACAATTATTTTTCTTTTTTTTTCTATATTTTTTTGCAATGTTTTTTTTTCGTTTACTTTTTTTATGATCAGGTGTTTAGTATGCTCACATTTGTATAGCACATAGTATGCATAGATCAATTATTATTATTATTTTTATAGTACATAATTAGTATCATTACCCGAATCTATTAAGTTTTCTTGTTTGTGCCTAATAATAATTTTTTTTCTGATACTTCAAAGATCCAGCCTTCTAGCTGTTTTAATAAAATTATCTTGTGATTAACAAAAGTTGATCCTCGTTGATCATTATTTAATTAGCCCAGGTTGATCAGTCGGGAACAATATCTATCATTATTATTGTTTTTCTCAATGTCATTCTCAATGTCATTCTGATACATGATGTTGCATAACAATAAAATCAGATTACGTATTTCCTGTATTAAAGCAAGATCTACATCTCGGATTACGAGTAAGTCCGTATAAAGTTTCGACTATAGTGGGCTTTACATCAACAAATAATGTGCAGCAAGTCTTTATGGTCTTTATTTAGAATGATTATTCCGATATACCGTATATCAGGCCTACCGAAAAATCAATTTCAATTAATTTTTATCATACGTCATACAATTAAAATCAATTAAAATTATCAT